ACAAGTCTTATGAGGAGCGGCTGAGGGAACTGGGGTTGTTTAGCCTGGAGAAAAGGAGGCTGAGGGGAGACCTCATCGCTCTCTACAACTACCTGAAAGGAGGCTGTAGCGAGGTGGGGGTCGGTCTCTTCTCCCAAGTAACAAGTGATAGGACAAACAGAAATGGCCTCAAGTTGCGCCAGGGGAGGTTTAGACTGGATATGAGGAAAAATTTCTTCACCGAAAGGGTTATCAAGCATTGGAACAGGCTGCCCAGGGAAGTGATTAAGTGGCCATCCCTCAAGGTATTTAAAAGATGTGTAGATGTGGTGCTCAGGGACATGGTTTAGTGGTGGACTTGGCAGAGCTAGGTTAACGGTTGGACTTGATGACCTTAAAGGTCTTTTCCAACCTAAACGATTCTATGATTCTGTGATACCTCAGCACAGCAAGTGAGGTACGAGGGAGGTGCCACGCAAGGTATTAGAGCCCCTCAGCAAAGTGCACTCCCATGTCCTCTTCCCCTAGCTGTGACCTCAGGCAGCTTGGGGACACAGCATGACCACAGGCCAGGGTGACAGACCCCCTCTGCCGTGGGATCCTGGACAGCAGAGACTCCTCTGTCTGGGCTGCAGATGCCTGAATTTCGGGGCAAGTGGTAGGGAGCGTGCAGCAGAAGCTGATGTCTGGGTCTAATCACCATCATGCAGACCCATCCTCTCCCCTGCCAAGGCAGGGCCTCAGACCAAAACTGCTTGGAAAGGCCTTGCCCCAGGACATGACCTGGCACCTCCGAAATCCAGGCAGTGCTTCTTGGGGAGGCAGCAGAGCCCCTACGTTCCCAAAACCCCAGAAGGGCTGCTCTGTGGAAGGACCCAGAATTAGGTATTTCTGATCTCTTCATGATCGGGTCTCCTCTGGCGCGTGAGGCGGCGCCACACCAGGTAGCAACAGGGGGGTTGTGTCTGGCGCACGAGGTACCGGCGAAGGGACCACGGACCCGGGCTGCTTTCGGGACGAAGCTCTCAGGTGAGGAGGACGTGGCCCCCTGCACCTCTCACCGCCCCTTTGCCGACGACGGATC